GTCGGCAGCGGGGCGGGATGGGAAGGGGCGCCGCGGCCCGGGCCGGCCACGTCGCCAGGCCAGCGGGTGAGCGTCTCCCTTGCAGGCAGCGTGGCGCTCGGGGGCCGGCACAGCGGCGGCGGCGCAGGAGGTGCGACAGCTGCGAGGTGGCTTCGAGGAGCTGCTGCTGAGGATGCGGGGTGAGTGGCGGCTCGGCCGGCCGGGGCCGCCCTGCCCCCTGTCTTGCCTTCACCCTCCCTCCCGTTGCCGCCGCGGACTCCAGTTGCGTGCGTGTGGAAGCACCGATTCTCGGGCGCGGGTGTTTACCGGGCTGCAGCTCCGGTATCCCAGCGGAGGAAACAAATTGCTTGAGGGAGGGGCCTTAAACCTCCCTGCTGCCCCAAGCTGAACTGGGCCCGCAAAAGGATTATGGCCCAGCCCCAGCCTTTAGCTAACCTTGCTGGGGGATGTGAGCAACCCCTGGGCTTTCTGGAAAGAATGAGTCAGTCTTTGTCCTGGGAAGCTGGGGAAGGGGCTCCCTGCCACAACTGTGGTATAGAGGAAACCTGATGCGAGGGAGGGAGGGAGAGAGAGAGACAGCATGGGCATGGTGGATGTGTATTGGAAGAGGGCCGGCTCTTGATGGTCTTTTGGGAGAGCTGAAAGGTCTCAGTCCGGGAGGACTGCAGCACCTGGATAGCTGATAAATGGATGTCTGAAGCAGTGTCGGCACCTGGAGACGTGAAACCTGTTGTCTCTCTAGGTACTGAAATTTCAAAGTTGTTAAATCTTAGCAACAAAAAAATACAATTCTGTTGTCACAAAGCCGGGTGATGACACCTTAGCACGGATGGCTGTTTGGTTTTCCTTAGCCAGCTCAATTTCTTTTTGGCTTGGCTGTGATCACAGGACTGCCATCTGCCCTCCCCACCCTGCCTCTGGAGCTTACCGTCCTCTACAACTCCCTGCTTTTTACTATGGGAGCGTCTGACTCTGCCATGAAAGGAGAAGCAGAAGTAATACACCAGGAGCTCCTCAGGGGTAAGGAGATCGTTCTCTGTACGGGGTCTCCTCAGGGCAAGGACATGCTTTGGAATTGTGTGGTGACTGGCTGGAGGTGAGGGGGTTGTGAGCAGGAAGCCTGGCTCTGCTGGGAAGGACTGGAGGTGGGGTGGCTTGCAGCCAGGGATGATGTACAGCTGCCTCTCTACTTGCTGCTGCCTGTAGGGATGGGCCAGGGTTTTAAGAGGAATGAGAGTTTTCAAGATGTAAGGTGCCAAGTCTCTAGCAAAATTTTAATGACAGTACAAAATGAGTGTTTAATTATAGTGTGCTGGTTTCAAAGAGAACTTACTGAAATAGGCTGCAGCTCAGAGGAGGATCTGCAGTGTTGACCTATGCTTGCCTGGGGGCAAGTGACCTCAGGAGGGCTCAGCAGAGTTGGAGTCATAGCTCTGAACCAGTGTGTTGTCTCCTGAGCATGCAGCTGTTCACTGTCTGACAGCTTGGTTTCCATGCTGCTGAGGCTGGACCAGCCCCGAAACCCCATTCCTCCCCTTGCAATGAGGAGCCTGTGCTTGCTCGAGGCTTTCTCTTCCTCTTGTTACAGGGTACCAACCTGTTGTGTCATGGATGGAGTTTTTTTTTGTTTGGTTTGGATTTTTCCAGTTCTGGAGGCTTGTGGGGCCTGCGGACAGGATCTTAGCACTGAGGAGCTGTGGCTGAAGGTGCTGCGGGAGGTCACTGTGGAGGAGCTGCAGGCACCTTTGCACCAACTGGGTGCCCTGCAAGCAGTGTGGTGGCTGTCATCTGGCCACCTGGGAAGCACTGCCAGCCTCTTCAGACTCCTGAGCAACCCTGAGGTAACTGGGCACGGGCAGATGCCACACAGCTCCTGGTCACCTGTACCGGAATATCTGCGCAGTTATAAATACCCGTGGGTTTACTAAAGGAAGTAGAGCTGGCATAAATACTGTGTCATAAACCCCACTCTGCAAAATGTTGCTATGGCATTTTGAGACCTGAACCCACCAGCACTGCCCAGTTGAGCGTGAGTAATCCTCTCCCTGGTGTCCCAGCGTAGCCTGATGGCTCCAAGTGTGTTAATGAGTCCCAGAATATCCCCTACCTGTTGGGGTCCTGGACCTCAAGGTGCGAGACAGGACACTTGGGTAGGCTGGAAGAGGGCTGTGGGTGGACTTGGAGCCCATGTAGGGAGCAAGCTGTGAGCAGTGGGATGCAGAGGAGCCTTCCCTGCTGATTGTGAAGCTGCTGAGGGGTCCCACCTTTTTTTGAATGCCCTCCAACAGCACTTGGATCTGCCTCGCCAGGCACCCATTAGGGTGCAGCTCGTGCTGAAGTGAGGAGGTGCTTCCCTGGGCCATTCAGGAGTCATTGCGGCAAGGGGGTTGTAGCTGAACTGAGGGGGTGGTAGGACATTGCTTCCCAGCACAGAGAGCACGGTCAAAGGATTTGATGTGACCTCTGTTGCCCCATGCCCTGGGATCAGTGTTTCCTGCTTCCCTTCAGCATTCCCTGCTCTCTGTGTATTCACAGGACACAGGAAGATCTCACTGCCATGAGGGGGAGAATGAACTCCTTTCCCTGCTCAAGGCATGGCGAGTACCTGCTGTGAAGGCTTCCCTGCCCCTTCTACAGAGCACTGAGGACTTGAAAGCAATCCTCTGTACCACAGCAGCCTTTCTACAAGGTTTGTGTGGAGGAGATACTTATACCAGCACAGCCTCCCACTGTTGTCCTGTCCCAGGACCCCCTCTCCCTGCCCTTATCCTGGTTTTTCTTCCCAAGCAAACTGGTCCTTGGGGTTTTCTGGGCTGGGCTGAGCCTCTGGGTCTCAACTTTGCTGTTCATTATTCAAAGAGCTCTGCTTTTTCCCCAGCTAAGCCTTTCTCTGCACTGTCACAGGGCTTCTCTGCCTGTCTGTGGCTTTAGATAGGTGTCTGGGCACCCCAGTGATCTTGTATAAAGTGGAAAGCTATCAGGGGACCTGTGAGGATTTTCCTGTCTTCTGGCACCTGCCTTGCAAGTAGATCATTCCTGTTGGATTATGATCCTGCAAGAGCCATGCAGAGCTGTTGTGCAGCTTTGCAGCCTGGTGTTACAGCAGGTGACTGATCTCATGTGACTGCTGAAATCTTTTCCACTCGTAGTTTTCCCTTGATTGCTGTCTTGACAACCCCAGCAGCTCTGGGGGGCAGCCAGCATTGCCTTGCTGTGCTCTGGCTGATGCAGGGCTTTCCTGCGAGGAGAGAGGGCAGGAGCTCCTGCCCACAGACCTCTCAAAAGCCTCTAGAGTGGCGATAGAACTTCCTGGAGGGAGGTGACAGATGTGAATGTGAGGTAGGCATGTGAGAGGGGCCTCAGAGGGAAGCCTGAAATGGGGACTGAAAGAAAAGCAAATACCATTCATGATAAATACTCATGAATTAATATCCCAGTGCTGGGATCCCTACTGGAAAATGGCCCAGATGTGCTGGAAAAAGTCTTTCTGAGATTCTGCCCGTGCTTCCCCATCTGCACTGCTCTTGCTGTGGATGAATGCGCAGGTGGACCTGCCCAGCACCTACTTCTGCCCTTGTTCTGGGCCTGGGCAGGCACCTTGGTATCGGGGCTTGGAAGCTGTTACTTTTTCTGCTAGACATCTCCATCGATTGACTTGTTCTCTTGCAACACAAAGGTGGCAGCTTGGCACCATCCTGCTGTGTACCGCTGGGTGTGGAGGTGATCACACAGGTCCCTGTGGCACTGGGAAGAAAAGGGCACATACGCTTGTTTGGGAGCCAGGTGGGGCGGGAAGGGGAGCCGCAGAGCTGAGATGTTTGGTCTGTCCTAGGGCTGCAGGAGCTGGAGGCTGGGAACTTCCCCACTGCCCTCTCCCTCCTTCAGGAGGCTGCTGGAGGATTCTGCTCCAAGAGGGTCCTGGCACAGATCTACACCTGCCTTGGCTACTGTGCTCAGCGAATGGTAATGGCCAGGCCTCTCCTGCCACAGGGAGAGGGGAAACACAGCCTAGAGTGGGGTGGGAAGTCTCAGGCTGGTGTCCACACTGCCTCTGCCTGGTTCTGGGCTGCTGCAGGAAGGCGAGGTCTTGAGCAGAATTTGTTGTGGCTCCAGCCTCCTTGGGCAGCTGCAAAATCCAGGTATGGATTTTGGCTGAATGCAAACAGTCACTGCAGAGAGAGAAGCTCAAAAACCAGCCTGAGGAGGGCTGCCTTGGGCTAAAGTGCTGCCCTTGCTTAGTGGGGAGCACTGGGGAAGCAGGGTGGGGATCGGGATCCTGCTGAACAGTAAAGTTGTCAGCCAGATGTCCCTGCAATGTGAACCTCTTTCCATCTAACTAGGGCAAGCCTCAGACAGCCCTTCAGCACCTGAAACAGGCCCTCCAGGTAGACTTCCAGTGCCTTCCTGCCCTGTCCCACGTGGCAGCAATGTACCACGAGCTGGGGGAGACTGATGCGGAGCTGAAGGCCCTGGCTCTGCTCAATGAGGTTTGTCTGCTTCCTGTACTTCTGGGTTGATTTTTTCCCAGCAAAACCTGCACCGAGCTTTCAAGCAGGCTCCTGTCTTCTGGGGGGCTGTTTGACCCTGGAGGATCCCTAAAGTAGACTACAGCGATCCAGCCATAGTGCTGGCTTTAGTAGTGGGCAGGAAGGAGCCAGTGGGATCAGAAATTCCTGCTCAGCACCTAGTGGTTAGATGTGCCAAGACCTTTGCGTCACTGTTCATGTTCTTGATGGCTTGGGAGAAGAGGTTACACTCATGTCAGAAAGCCTCAGTCTCTTAATAAAGTATGTATTTGTGAAGAGGCCTTTAAAAGGCAGATTGTGGCTGTGAGGGTATGTGTGTTATCCATAGCAACCTTTGTCTGCCTGGGAGGAGCAGGTCTTTAGCTCTTCAGCCATTTGAAATCTGTAAGATACAAACACAGCTGTAGAGAGGGATCTCTCACTACGAATGGCCCAAGATCTGTCTAACTCGGTCTGCAGCTGCAAAGGGAGATGGTGTTTCAGGCAGCTCAGTGCACCTTGAACTAAAAACCTGAGGTGATCTGGGTGATCTTGTAAATCTGATGCCATGTGGACATCAGAAATCTGTCTGTCCCTGTGTGATCTGGGTGGATCTTCCTGGAAGCAGCTGTGTTGTAGCAAGTGAGAATAGCATAGCTGTGCTTATGAAAGTGCAGTGCTTGTGTTTGTCTGGGGGCATCTCCAGATGCCAGCAGTGGCAGATGAGTGCAGCTGTTTGAGACTTGACCAGCATGGTGTTGACCACAGTTTTTTGTTCTTGTTTCACAGGCTCTGGAAGAAGAAAGTCCAGCAGCTACTTCCTCTAGTCCATACTTCCTAATCCAAACAGAGCTTCTTGTCCACACACCAATACTAGATTTAATCCTTCGCCATCGTCACCCCTCTGAAGTGAAGTACCTGCTGGCACAGCGATGTCTCCAGGATGGGAGGTAACAACTCCTCTGGTCTGCTTGCAATATGCTGCTTGTTTGGGCTCTGCATTTTTCTCTGTGCTCCTGGAAAACATCCAGTTCGGTACTGCTGTTGTAGGTCTGCTCAGAGTGTCGGTATCACAACCAGAGCAAGTGTGGTACAGGGAGAGCCTCTGGGCTGGTGGTCCAGGTTCTATCTGGCTGCTGGAACTTCTTGGGGTCCCTCTGCTCCTTCCAACCCATGTTCTGTCTCTTTGCAGGGAGGCTGATGCGGTAGAACACTACCTGGATTTTCTGGCACTGCTTCAGGAGGGTCTGCATCAGCAGGTAGGTGTCCGGGTGAGGAGCTCCCTTGGTGATTTGACAGATCCAGGGTGTCAGCCCTGGACTCCAGGTTTCAGTGTCTAGTTTGAGATGTGAAGGAAATGAGGTGGGGGGTGGTGCTTCTGACCTGTGGCATGTCCGCCTTTGGATTCGCACCAGAGACCACTTGCCACTGCTATTTGGAGAAACAGCTTCCCATTCGCTGTGGGGAGCAGCTGTTGTCCTGGTTTTGGATGTCCTTCAAGAGTAGGGGTTTGCTGCCTTGACTCTTGATGAGCTGTCAGTGCTTCACAGCTTCTGCCTTCTCCAACAGGCTCCAGTGTCTGTGGGAGTGGGTCTGAGCTTTGCTGGGCTCTTGGTTCCCAGTAAGCCCAGGGTCAGTCTGCTTGGCTGGACGCTCTGCAGGTCTGTGACTGAGCACTGCCATCCCTTTTGCTCCCCAGGTGTCTCTAGATTGTAGCTCAGGTCTGCCCAGGATCCCTGAGGCGTTCCTGGAAGCAGCATCCGCCTTGGAGCAGGCTGGGAGGCACCAGGATGCCATAACCATGTGCGAGGAGGTCATCAGCCGGACAACTGACCTCATCCCGCAGATCTTACGAGTGGAGGAGAGGCTGGAGGAGTGCCCATCGCCAGAGGCAGGGCTGGCGGGTGGACTCCTGTCCCAGAAGGAGAGTCTGTGCTGCCTTGCCTGGAGAACAGCCGCATACCTGCACCAGGGGTGGGCATGGGCCAACCTGGGTGAGAGGAAGGAGGCCATAACCCAATTCAGCAGGTGACGAAGCCTCACTGGGAGAACAGGCCTCCCCAGAAGGCAGCAAGGGCTGTCGAGGGCCAGAGCAGGGCACAGCACAGCACAGGGGCTGGCCTGACAACCTGCAACTAGCTTCCTAGCCCTGGAATTGTACCAAAGCTTCTTCATCCTCTCACTTGCAGGTGCCTCAGCGATCTCGTACGAGTCCAGCTTTATGGGTCTGGTGCTGAACTAGCAGGTAGGACGCTGCACAGCTGGGACCTGTGTGGGGGCCTGGTTGCATTGGGATGTGTGTGCTTGGCAACAGTGCATACAGGAGCAAGGTGTTGGGCCCAGTGTCACCTCTGGCAGGAGGTGGTTCTCCCAGCGTGCTGAGCTCTGTGCCATGCTGGAGCCTCTGAAGGGACTGGCTGGTTTGCTTGGAGCAGGGTTTGGCCTCGGCTCTGTCTCCTTCCCTGCTGTCTTAAGTGACAGTTAAATGGGCTCTGAACCAGGAAGCTTCTCCAGTCCAGATTTCAGGGAAGAGATCTGTACCACTTGTGCAGATGGGCAAAGGCCAGGCTGCTGCTGAGGTCAGTGTTCGCTGCAGCCGTGTAATGAACCAAGCTCCTGGTGTTCCTCACCCTCTGCCACCTCCTGGCCTCTCCCAGCCTGGTGGAGAGGCTGAGCTCTGCCTTCTGGGGCCCGGGGACCTGGAAGATGAGTAGCCCAAATAAAGGTTTGGCCTGTCCTGGCTGCTAACCTGGCTCAGCCTGCTGGCACAAGGGAGGGAATATCTGGAGGATGCTGTCTCCAGGTGCATGTTCTTTCAGTGCCAGAGAATCTCCTGCCAGAATTGGAGGTGCTCCAGAAGATCAGATTGCTCTCTCTCATTGGGCGAGGTGTGCAGTTCCTGGAGCTGGGGAGGCACAAGGAAGCCCTGTTGGATTTCCATTATGGTTTGCAGACCTTGCCAGGTAAGAGGCTCATTTTGGTGAGGAACAGAGGGGATTTCCACAAATTTGTCCTGGGCTGCTTTTCTGTCTTCATCAGAAAGAGCTTATGCTTTAGACCACACTTACCTGGATGTCAAGGACTACAGTACAGCTACAATCAATGTCACATACTTGAAATGCTTCTGTGGGGCCTGGCCAGCTCACTGCCCTGGAGATGCAGACCAAAACTATTGTCAGAGGAGTCTATTAGAACCCTGCCCACAACCTGTGCCCTGAGACAGCCTGGAAATTTCTTCCTGCTCAGAGCCCAGCCTGGTACAGCCAGCTTTCTCACAGACAGGGTCTGCTTTCCCAGAACAGAGGAATTGGAGTCTTGCTTCATCCTAGGAAGCAGCATGCTCATGCCTGGCCATCCAGAGGCTGAGTATGGAGGCCTGTCAGTGGAGAGGGGAGCAGGGCAGGGAGCTGTACATGTCCTGAGCACAGCTGAGTGCTGCTCCCAGTGCTCTAGGTGTGCTGACACGCTGCAGAGATGTGAGCTTCACGAGGATTTGCCAAACCTGCTGGTCCCAGTCCTGACTGAGGCTTCCTCCCTTCGGGGGTGCAGACCTGCCTGCAAGGAAAACCCCAACCCGTGTCCCGACAGAGGTGTGGCTGTCTGGGCCGCAGGGCTGATGCCATCTGCCTTCACTGCCAGCCCTGGAGTTAATTAGAGCCTGTGACATAGCTGGGACAGTCTCCTCCCCATTACATCACCTCTCCTCGTGCTCACCTCCTTTGTCTGGCTCTGAAGCTGCTTTTGCAACACCCTGCAACCCACAGCAACACTGGGGACCTGCTCCTCCTCTGCTAACAGCTGAATCCCCCCCACTTCGTGTCTTGCAGGTGACCCAGCTGCTGCTTCCTACCTGGTGCAAGCCTTGTGGAAACTGAATCGAAAGCAGGAGGCGGCTGCTTACTGGCAGAAGTTCTTCCAGGGCCCCCCTGGGGAGGATGGGCAGCAGGAACATCAGGGAAGGTGTGTACAGGGATGAGTGGGATCTTAGCTGGCCACAGGAGAGCTCCAGCAGTGCAGCCCATGTTTCAAACTCTGTGGGACAGTTTAGCTCAGTTCCTGCTAGTCTGCACCCGCAGCTCAGATCTGTGTCTGAGGAGCTCCCCCTCACATCTACTCTGAGGGGCCATGGGCTGTGGCTCAGCAGGGACTCACTGGGGCACAAAATGCTGACATGGAGCTAAATGGGAGGGCAAAGGCTGGGGCAGAACTGGGGGCTTTGCACTGTCCATGGGGAGCGAATGGCTTATTCAGACCACAGCAAGGGAATGCCACGGTCCTTGCTGCTATGCTTCCTTCTCTTCCAGGCCCTTCCCATTGTACCTGGTTTCATGTCTGAAGCAGGCGTTCCCAGACAGGGATTCTCTTGCCAGAAGCATACAGGATTACCTCAGGACCACAAAGGACCCCCTGAGCTAAACTGATCAGTCTCCCCATCCCCACCTGCTGAAGTCTGCCTGTATCAGGCTGGCTGGCACGAGGCCTTTAAGGACTCCTCTAAGACTCAGAATGACTCTTGGATAAAGCTGGATTCCTAAAGGACTGAAACAAAATAAATCTTTAATGATAAAAGCCTCGGCTCTATTTGAAGTTTTTGCTGTTTTTCCAGAGCAAACCTTGACACTGCCTGGAGGGGCTGTGCCCTGGGTTCTTGGGGAGGTCAAGAGCAGAGATACCATTATCATGTATGTGGTGGGGCAAGCTCTGGGCTCTAGGGAGGTTGTGGCAGAGTCAGGCAGTCTCATAAAACAAAGTGTTGTCAGGTTGCCTGTCCTACTGATACAAGGAAATGATCACCTACTTTGCAACTTAATTACTTATAACATTATTTCTGAACATCTTAATAATCCTGCTTGCCTTGACTCTTCTGTGGAAGCTTACCAAAGACTACTGTGTTCATCAAAACAAAGCAGTTTTCTGTGGAGACTTATCAAGAATTACTGTGTTTGGCAAAAATAAGAGACATATCCTTGGAAAGTAGATGTGCTCTAACTAGTTTAGCCTTTGCAATAGATAGCTGTATATGGGCAGTAGAATTTAATATACTGGTGCTTTTAGATAAGATTGAGGTGGTAAACCAGCAGGAGCCACTCTTGTTATTCAAGAAATTGGCTAAGAGAATCTGTGCATGCTCTGAGGAAAAGTACAAGGTGAGAAAGACTGTGAGCCCCGAAGATGCCCACTAGGAGGTGCCTAATGCACAGGTGCCAAGACAACATAAACTGCAGACAACGACCTTTTGAACTAACCCAGCCTTGCTCATGCATATGGACATTTGTGTTACATAATCCAATGAATATGGATATCCACACTCTTAAGTTTTTAGTAAAATGGGCTGTTGATGTGCAAGCTTTGTGGAGAGATCCCCTTGCACCCTGCCACCGGAGTAAACGTACCTGCTCTATAACTCTGTTTTAGAGTGTTCCCACAGATCACTACCTGTGCCTTATATCCTGGCTTTGTATTCTTGTCAGTGTTTGGAGCCCAGAGCCTCTGGGCTCTTCTGTGACACAGCAGGGTGGGGAAGGGGCACTTGCTCCTGCCCAGCATCTGGCGCAGCTGATTTTGGGTGACCAGCTGAGCCTTGGGCAAGCCTTGCATCCCACAAGGGAAGGCAGGAGCTGCAAGGCAAAGCGTGAGTTGGGAGAGAGGAAACGAGATGACAAAGCTCAGAAGCAAGAGGTGGGAGCTGCTGCAGCACCCTCTGAACGCCAACAGGGCTTGGAAGGGGTTTTCACTGCGGTTCCTTATAGAAAAATACCTTGGCAAGTCGGATTCCCCCGTAGGCTGCAGGGATGGGGCTCCAGGTGCAACGTCGTTTGGTTCCAGCGGTGTTTCTGGTCGCAAGGAAACGCGCCCCGGGTGGATGCGAGTGCCTAAAGGGGGTGGGAACCGGGGTGCGGAGGGTCGCCCGGTCCGGCCCTGCCAAAAATACCGACCCGGGGAAAGGAAAACTGCCCAAAACATACATAAATGGGGGAGAAGGGAGGCGGGTGGGTGCTCTGGGTGGAGGGCGAGGCCGCTCGCACCCCTTCCCCTCGCGCCGCCCCAGCCCGCCGCCGCCATGCCACCG